GGAAATGCTAGTTGCAGGCAGGTCGCACAGTCAGACACCGTCTCACACATCTGCAGTGCTGGCTGCTGCTTTATTTCTCCTGATTTTTCTTTATCTTCATATATCTGATTGGATCATTTCTTTTGCCCTGTTGTCTTAGTCGACTTGGGCGTCCACAACAAAACATCACAATTTGGGTGGTTCAACAGCAAATGTGTATTTTCTCATGGTTCTGGAGGCTGGACGTCCAAGGTCGAGCTTCCGGCTGATCTGCTTTCTAGTGAGGCCTCTCTTCTTGACCCTCAGGAAGCTTCCTTCTCGGTCCCGCAGTCTTTCCATCATGTGTGCGCTGAGCGAGGGAGAGCCAGACGTGAGGAGGTCATAGTCCTATGTGATCGGGGCCTGCCCTCGTGACCTCATTCAACCTGAGTTACTTCCGTGGAGACCCCATCTCCAACAGAGTCACGCTGGGGCTAAGGGCTTCAACACATGACTTGTTGAGAGGGACAGACGTCCAGTCCACAGCTGCCCTCAAACCCGCCGGGACCTCCCTCTGTAAGTCCAGTCCACTCTCCGTCCTTACAAGAGGCCTTCATCTCCAATGTCCTATTTCTTTCTAATTTCATAATTTCCCTTTGCGGCAGCTCTGCTCGGGTCTTCTTTATTGTTCTCTCTTTCCGCTGAAACCCCCATGTCTTCGCGCATGCTGTCCACCCTTAGCACTACACCCTATCACACGCTCCCCGGGATTAAAGACTGTCTTCCCACACTGCTGCAGGCCATGCCTGGGTCTGCTTCTATCGACTGTCGCCTCCCTGGACGATGGGCCACATCAGCTTGCTTTTTTGGGGTGTCTGTATTAAAGTTCTCCAAAGAAATAGAGCCAATAAAAGACACACACACATAAAGGAATTAATAGAATTAATATAAAGATATTTATCACAAGGAATTAACTCGCATGAATACAGAGGCTGACACATCCCAAGGTCTGCAAGGTGAACTGGCAGCCAGGGCCCCGGGACAAGTGATGGGGTAAGTTCCAGGCAGGAGGCAGGAGGAAGGTGGGACAGATTCGTGACTGAGTGCCAGGCATTGTGTGACAGGTCAGCGGCCATGTGCCCAGGACAGCCTGCCCCTTCCAGTGCTGCTGTTGGTTCTGGGCTCGGCTGTGTGGCCTGCGGGCAGAAGGATCATACCTTCCTCTGGGTGGAGTGGGGCAGGGTGGCATCTGAGTGGGTCGGGGTCTGCTGCAGCAGGCCAGGTGGCCCTGTGCTGGCCGGTGGCCCTCTGTTCTCTTTCATCTCCCCGAATGGTAGAGGGCCACCAGCTGGCAATCGACACACCCCATGTTTCCCTTGGTGCCCCCCTGCCCCCAGAGCACCACGAGTATCTGGGACCTGAGCCTCTGCGTGGACTTGGCTCTCGGTCGAATCCCAGGTGCTACCTGGTGTGAGGCCCGCCTGGCTGGTTTCTGCCAGGCCTCCTGCTCCAGTCTCAAGCTCTGGTAGCCTCAGGCCGGGGCCCCACTCACGGCTCCCCGCAGCAGATGCACGGTCACTCCTGGGATCTTACTGGGAAGCCCCTGTCCTGGAGGGTCTCTCAGGGCCCGGGTCTTCCCTCAGACTCTGGCAGGCCCTAAGCACCGGTGCCTCAGGGAGCTCCTTGGTCCCCTGGACCCCCCACCGTCTTCCTTATGAGTACTTAGTGACGGCTCTTGGAAGAGAGCTGAGCTATGTGTGTCTGGAGCCCCCCGGGGACTGACAGGTTGTCGCCAAAGGCAGTGCCAGTGCATGTGGCCCAGGGGTTCTCAGAGAGGACTTGCATTTGCTTTAACACTCTGCTGTCCCTGTCTCGAAATCCTTGATAAAATTTTTAAATTGTATTTATTAAAAAAAAATTTTTTTTGTAATGTTTATTTACTTTTGAGAGAGACAGTGTGAGCGATGGAAGGCCAGAGACAGAGAGGGAGACACAGAATCTGAAGCAGCTCCAGGCTCCGAGCTGTCAGCACAGAACCTGACACGGGGCTCGAACTCCTGAACTGGGAGATTATGACCCGAGCTGAAGTCTCTTAACCTACTGAGCCACCCAGACGCCCCACCACGGTTTTTTTGTTTGTTTTAATTTCAAGCCAAGCCCTGCTGATGAGCACCGAGCAGAGAGTCAGGGAGAATGGGCGTCCACCCTGGCTCTACCTTTGGCTGGCTGTGCAGTCTTCAGGAAGTTTCTCATCCTCCCTGAGCTTTCTCTGCCCTTGGGGAAAACAGCAGCGTCACGGGGCTGGGGGGCCCTGACAGTCCCCAGAATTCTGAAGGAACTGGGCCTCGTTGCCCTGCTTCAGGTACTGCGCCCCTTTCTGTGCCGGGGACATTTCCCACCTGGCGAGTCCCAGGGGAGGCTGTGTGCACACTCCAGACAGCAGCAGCCTCTAGAGATCTGTGTGACCCAGGCTCCACTGGCAGATGGACCGCCCCCGCCCCGCCATCGCGTTGACGATTCTGGAGGCCGAGGCAGCAGCTGCATTCCCCACCCCCCCACACCCCCCCCACACCCCCGCCCGGGCCGTCATGGGCTGGGGCCTCTCCCCCAGCGGCGGGTGCTGCTTTCCCGGCTCTGATCGCCTGCTACTTCCCGGCCTGTGCCCCCTTCTGCCCCCAGCCAGCCAGCTACCCAAAGCGTTGCTCCTGCTCCCTCCTCACCAGCAGGAGGGGGGGGGGGTGGCAGCGTGCCCGGACCCACACATTCATCTTCCCGGATTCCCGGATTCCTGCACCAGGGTGCAAGCAGCTGGGCGGGCTCCCGGGGAAGCCGCCGAGAACAGGCCTGACTGGTGGCGTCACTCCCAGCCTTCTGGCCTCTTCCTTCTCTCCCCTTCCGAGTCTTCCGGCAGGCAGTCGGATGAAGAACGTGAACTTGGGGGCTGCGGAGAGGCCCCTGAGGTGACTGGCCTGAGCCTGAGGGACGGGAAGAGCAGAGTCCCCGGGGCCCCTGTCTGGCGATTTGGGACCTGGGGCTTCTTTATGTAGGAAAAGGACTCCGGGTTATTTTGTTTTACCTTAACAGCTGATATCTCATTTATTAAAGTTGTCATCTTAAAACATAACTCTTTAGCTTAGAAACCATGTTAGTATCTTTGTGAGTATAGCAGATTTGAACTTGTTTTTAATAATTTTCAAATATTTCCTTTTTTTAATGTTTTTTTTTTTTTTTTTTTTTTTTTTTTTTTGGACACAGAGACAGAGAGAGCATGCAGGAGAGGGGCAGAGAGAAGGGGACAGAGGATCCAAAATGGGCTCCACACTGTCAGCACAGAGCCTGATGTGGGGCTTGAACCCATGAACCATGAGATCATGACCCGAGCCAAAGTCTGACTCTTAACCAACTGAGCCACCCAGGTGCCCCTCAGTCAATTTTTAACTTCACATTTGAAAATGCAGTTTTGGGACGGGAACAGGGAGTTACTAAAAATGGGCACAAGGTCCTTTTTGGAGCCAAGAGAATGTTCTAATCTTAGATTGTGGCGGGATCTGCACAGCTCTGATTTCTCTCTCTTTTTTTAATTTTATTTATTTATTTTGAGAGAGAGAAAGAGAGAGAGCACGCAAGCAGGCGGAGCAGTGGAAGGACAGAGAGAGAGGGAGGAAGAAAAGAAAATCCCAAGCAGGCTCTGCCCTGACAGCACGGGGCTGGAAATCAGGAACAGAGAGATCATGACCTGACCTGACGCCAAGAGTCAGACACTCAACCGACTGAGCCCCCCCAGGCGCCCCACAGCTCTGGTTTCTACAATTCACTGAACTATATGTTTAACACAAGTGAATTCCATGTAGGTACATAAATCAAAGAGAAAAACAAGTGCATACTCTAACACCTAACCAAGGTCGGTGCCAGCGACAACGGCCTGTGGCCACCCCAGCATGCCTGTCCCGGGCCCGGCTCCTGCCCGCAGCCCACTCAGGCCCCCCTGTCCTCACTGGAAGGGGACGCACGGACCATGTGTTTGTTTCCTCTCTCCCAAAGCACCCTTACGCATGATGCCGCAATCAGATCCATAAACATCTTCTCCGTATCGGGTCAACCTTGCCCCATGGTGCCTTTGTGGCCTTCCCGGGCCCAGCTGCTCTGGGGGGGCAGGCGTGCCTGCTGAGAGGTGTCCCCCGCACAGCTCTCCTGACTGAAAGCACCGGAGCTGTGCTCTGCCCGTGACCTTCAGCACGGAGATAAATTCCCAAGGGACCCACTGTGGTGGGGTTTCCCCACCTGCTGCTGCTGTGCCCTGACCCGAGCGGTGGGGCTGGGCACTGCAGCCCCGAGCTGGGTACCCTGCCTCTTCCATGGGGTCAATGCCAGCCACCACAGAGCACGAGTCCTTGCGGCTTGTGAATCCGAGATCCTGGAGCCTGAGCAGGGGCAGCTTGGGGTGCGAGTGACCGCGGGGTATGCAAACTCACTGACTAGCCCCCTGGGGGGACACCTCAGTGCCAGGCTCTCACCACACGCACCAGGGCTGACCTCGTGTATGTGTTAGCTCAGTGCATCTTTGCTGAGTTTTGATTCTGCACGGTGTTCTCAAGCAACCAGTTCTGGGAGAGCTCAGGAAAGCTTCCCAGAAAGGACCAAGCACAGTGGGGAGCTTTGCTGACGGGGAGCAGGGAGGCCCTGCACAGCCCAGGGATGAGCCTTGCACACACAGGGAGCAGTGTGGGGAAATTCAGCGTGGCCGGAGAAGAGTGGAAGGCGAGCCAGCTGAGACAGGGCTGCTGTGGACCACGCTCTGTAGTGTAGGCAACCAGGAACCCGGGAGAGGCCGTCCAGCACAGGAGTTACAATTGCAGAGGGTTTTGAGAATAAGCATCCTGGAAGTCCCTGGAAAAACTGGGGCCCAGTAATCAGTCAGGAGGCTGCTGCAAACAAGGCCAAGCAGGAGCTGTAGCTGTGGGCACAGAGACCAAGCCTGTGGAGGAGGAAGAGGAGGGGGAGGAGGAGGGGAAGGTGGAAGGAGAGGAGGGGGGATGGGGAGGAGCAGGAGGTGCAAGAGGGGAAGGAGGAGGGAGGGGGAGGAGGAGGGAGAGGAGGGAAAGGAGGAGGGAGGAGGAGGGAGAGGAGGAGGAGGGTAGCATAGCGGCCTAGGCTGTGGCCTGGAGAGGGAACTGGAAGAGCTCTGTGAGGGACTCATCCATGGGGAGGACCCGGTGAGCAGGGAGGATCCATAGGAACTGTGGAGTGAGCTGTGGGTCTGGGGGCAGGTTTAGAAGCCTCCTGATGATCTGAGCCTTGGGAACGGAGGAGGTTGGTCATGGCGCGTGTGCAAGGAACCCCACAGGATCAAACACGGAACTTTGACATGGGAGTAATCTGTGGAGGAGTTCACAGGGAAAGGCAGGGCTGGAGAATGCCTTGGGGGAGCAGTAGGGGGGCGGACACCTGCCTGATGGAGGGTGTCCTCACGGAAAGTTCACCCTGGATGAAGCCCTGAGACGGCGGGCTGTGAAGTCACCAGTGGTCCCAGAAGATGCAAGGTGATCACGCCCGCCCCTGGGCAAGAGGCACAAGGGAAGTGAGTCACCCTCTTCCAAAGCTGTCTGTTTTCTGGATGTTTCAATGCCCTGACTTCCCCCCTATTACCTTCTCTTGCTCAGAGACGCTCTGGACAGAAGTTTTGTTTACAACCCGCTGTAGGAGTGAAGCCACAGCACTGCGCTTGTGGGTACAGAACCCAGGCTGCCCGTCCCTTTGGGCCCTGCTGAGTTCAGTCTGGTTCATCCCAGCACTGTAGGGACAGCCCTACATTCCTGAGGTTCTGGGCCTGCCCCTCCTTTGCTGGTTAGAAAGTCCAGTTCAACAGGTAAGGGTAATAATGAAGGATTCCCTACAACACCGGCTCCCCCAGAAACAAATCACCAGCGGTTAGATTTCTTGAATTAGGCAGTGGCCTTGCTGATGCTGCCGGTTACAAGAGGACAGGACTCTCAATGGCGCCAGGTAAGTCACACGGGCTGATTTCTTTTCTCATCCACACACTCGTTCCTTTCTTAAGAGGGGTCCCTAGCTGCTGCAAGGGTCAGCGTGGAGGAAGGACCGGAGTGCAGGGCGCTTGTATCTCAGGGCCTTGGGCGTTTCGTTTTGTCACAGGGGAACGAGCAGCTTCAAGGTCACAAAGTACCAGGTGAGAAGGGCGCGGGGGGTGGGGGACGGGGGGAGCAGTTTCTGGCTTTGGGGACACCCGGGGCGGGCTCCTCCCACGGCGGAGCCTCCTCAGGCACGTGCGTCAGTGGGGGCACGAAGTCCCAGCCCAGGTGCGCTCTGGTGGCAGCTAGCGACCCCTGGGATGCAGGACGCCCGACACCCGGCGCATCCCAAGGCTTCCCCGGTAGTGCGGAGAAGAAAGCGAGTTGGAAACCAGATGATGCTCTGGATACTGCAACTCAGGGGCGGACCAGAACCTGTCAAGTCCCTCCTCCGGGCTCCGCACGCACAGAGAACCGGGTCACCGCTGGCGTGCGAGCCTGGGGGCTGACCAGGGCGCGCTCCCGGGCGCCCGGGGTCGCGGCCCAGTCCTGCCCCCACGTGCGGGAGCGCAGAGGCGCAGAAGGACGGAGAAGGAGGGCGGAAGAGCACACAGCGCCTTTGCAGGTACGAGTCTGCCAGGCTCTCGAGTCAACGTCTTCCTGCTGGAGAAAATTCAGACGGACTGAGCAAGATATTTATGGAAAGTAGGGCATTTTGGAAGCATTTCGTAACTTCTCAGACGGGGACGACGGCACCTCCCGTGCGCGGAAGAGGCGATGTCCCAGCCCCCCCCCCCCCCCCGAGCCCCCAGACATATGCAGGGTAGCGGGGTTACCCGGGACCGGGCGACCTTGGCGGGGCGGCGCGACCTTGAGGCCTGCGTTCGCCTCAGTTGTCCCTTCTGCTCAGTGGGGACACGCCCTGATCGCCGGGTTGCGTGGGTCCGCCCGCGCCGCAGACCCCTCTCCCTGCGCGCCCTCGGGCTCCGCCGGTCCCCCGGGCCTCCGTCCCCGCGCCCGGCCCCCGTCCCAGTCCCCACGCCGCAGTACCGCGACGGAGCCCGCGGGCGGGAACCTGCCTGCGCCGCCAACGCGCACGCGCGCCGGCGGCCCGCCCCGCCGGCGCCGTCTCAGCTCATAGGCTAGCCACACCATCACTCCGACCGGCCAGCGGTAGCGATTGGCCAGGGTCCGGGCGCGCGACCGGCCGTGGGCGGGGCCCGGGCGGCTATAAAAGAGGCCGCGGCGGAGCTCGTGCCGTCTTGCAGACACCGCCGCCCCGGAGTTTCCCGCGTCCATTAGCCATGGTCAACCCCACCGTGTTCTTTGACATCGCCGTGGACGGCGAGCCCTTGGGCCGCGTCTCCTTCGAGGTCGGCGGGCAGGCGGGGTGTGCCGGGCGGGCGGCTCCAGGGCGGCGGGGGGCGCGGGCGGGCGGGTGGCGCCATTTCCTGATGAGGGGCCATTTTGGGAGGCCGGGGGCGGCGGGGGAGGGGCGGCGGCGGACAAAGGCGGGGCGGCGCGCACGTGTTT